AGCTCAAGAAGGCCGTCACCGCGACACCGCCGCCGCCGATCCCGCCCAGGAAGAGCAGGGCCGGCAGCGCGGGGTCGGCGCCGTCCTCGCCGCCGGCCGCGGACGCCGGCGCCGCGACGCCCAGCACGTTCGCCGACGGCGACGCCCCCAGCCTCACCAACGGCAGCGACCCCGAGCACGAGAAGCAGCCCCTGTCCAGGTGGGTGGCCCATCCCCCTGGCCAGTGGCGGATCCAGGGGGGCGAAGCACAGTGGGCCAGAAGACCGGTGGAGGCGGCCCAATCTCCAGACGCGTTTTAAGCTTCAGAGTCGCTAAATGGGCCTCGAACCGAATATGTGACCCCCACCAATGGATTGCTCTCCGAACGAGGAATCCATTGGTGGGGTCACACGTTCAATTCGATGTCCAATTAGCGACTCTGGAGCTCAAGACGCGTCCGGGGTTTCGGCCGCCTGCACCGGTCTCCTTGGCCGCTGTGCTCCGCCATGTTGTCGATGTCTTCGGGCTCGCCTCCGTGGCGCTGACCTCGCTCTTGCCCTGCAGGACCTCCAGCGCGTCGAGCGCGGCGTCGAGCGCCAGCCGCCTAGCTAGCAAGCGCACGTCCCCGATGACGCCGCGCGCGGGCAAGCGCAGCAGCGTGGGCGGCGGGCCGCTGCCGCCGGACGCCGACGTGTACCTGGACCTGCTGTCGCTGGAGCGCAGCGAGCGCGGCGCCGTGGACAGCGAGTCCGACGACACCAACAGCAGCCTGTCCACCGTGGTGGCGCTGCCGTCCACCAGCAACTCGAGCTTGTCGGCGTCCTCGCCCACCACGCCCGGCCCGCACCCGCCCATCGACCTGGCCAGGCTGCTGGGGCCCTTCGAGCGCCTCGAGCGGGAGCTGGCCGCCGAGCCGTCGACGCCGAGCCTCATCCAGGGCCTCGGCGAACCGCCGCCGCACCCGCCCGCCTTCGTGTTCCCCGAGCTGCAGCCGCCGCCCAGCTTCCAGGACGCGCCGCTCAGCTACGGCGACGAGGAGGTGCGGCCGCGCCTGCTGGAGGACGAGCTGGCCAGGGTGAGCGCCGCGAGCGGCACGACGTGCAGTGGGCCACGACCGGCGGAGGCGGAGAAAAATTCCAGACGCGTTTTGAGCTCTAGAGTCCCTAAACAAGACTCGAACCGAGCTTGTGACCCCTCCAATAGATTCCTCGCTCGGAGAGCAATCCATTGCGGGTGGGGTCACACGTTCGGTTCGAGTCCTGCCTAGCTCGAGAGTTCTTACTGCTTCCGCCGGTCTTCTGGCCCACTGTGTGACGTTTGGGGGACTGCCTTCAGACATGAAACCAATTTTCGACTGTGCCTGCAGGACGAGGCCGAGGCGGCGGACATGTCCCGCAGCAAGAAGAAGCGCGCACCGCCGCCACCGCCGCCACCGCCGCCCCGCGGACGGACGCAGCCCACCACGCCGACGACGCCGCCGCAGCCCGCGCCGCGCGGCGACCGCCTGCCGCGCCTGGTGCACTGCGTCCCCAAGGAGGCCGTCAAGGAGGCCGTGACGCCGCCCCCCGCCAGCCCCAAGCCCGGCGGCATCCCGGAGCCCCTGGAGCGCGCCATCGAGCGGCAGCGCGTCCTGGACCTCATCGCGCCCATGGCGCCCGCTGCCGCCGAGGTCCCCATCGACACCACCGAGGACGCCGTCGTTGAGATAACCGAGATAACCGAGGACGCCGCCGGCGGCGACGACGACTCTGCCGAGGACGTCGACGGCGAGGTGACGCTCAGACTGCCCGACCTAGTCATGGATTCGCAGGACGGCGGCAACGTCAAGGACGACGACGATGACGAGGACGGCGAGGGCGCCGACTTCGCGTCGTACCGCCGCAGCCTGTCGTCGCCGCTGCCGACCATCGGGGAGGACGACGACGAGGAGGAGGAGCTTGGCGTCGACACGGCCAGGTGAGGCATGCTGAGGGACGACGCCGTCGTCGGCGACGTTCTCGCGGTTTCCCAGTCCTCCCACCGCGCACAGTGGGTCAGAAGATCGGTGAAGGCGGCCAAAACTCTAGACGCGTTTTGTGCTCCAGAATCGCTAAATAGGCCTCGAACCGAACGTGTGACGCCCAGCAATGGATTCCTCGTTCGGAGAGCAATCCATTGGTGGGGTCACACGTTCGGTTCGAGTCCCGTTTAGCGACTCTGGAGCTCAAAACGCGTCTAGAGTTTTGGCCGCCTCCGCCGGTCTTCTGGCCCACTGTGCAGCGGTATCGATGCGGCCGTGATGCGGCCGTGGGTTGAAGACCAACCCGTCCGCGGCGCGGCGGACTTTCACTGGCTCCTGCTTCGCCTGCCTCGCTCTTCGCTGCTACCGAGCGTGATGCGCAACACTCGGCCGGCGCCGAGTAGCCGGCCCGGGTTCGAATCCCAGCAAAAATCCTTTCAAAAGATTTTTTTTAATCTCCAATTTTTTTAAAGATTGGTTTGAAAATTTCCTGTATTTTTTCAAAAATCTCAAATCAAATTTTTCGGCTTTTTTTTTAAATTACTCCGAAGTAATGTCGGGATGGACCGCTGAGCGCAAAGCGTGTTCATGAACTCCGCCGTCCAAAGCGGGAACCGAAGCCAGCGAAGTGGGGCAGTATGGGAAATCCTGCATTCGGATGAGGCTGGGACCGAATGCGGCGGCCGTACTCACGAGGAGAGATGAATGGAAAAAAAAACTGTGTTTGCGAGGCGGGTTTTCTCTTAACCCGGCCGACCCGGGTCACGGTGGCGCGCCGTGGCGGGGTGATGTCATGCCATGCGGCGACCGGCGTCCTGGGTTATGTTCGATGGGTTTGTTTTCACTCGTGGTTTTTTTCTGGTGTCGGGCGGCTCGGTTCGGCGACCTGGAAAAGCCTGGAAACGAAGAGAAACCCGCTGATCTATATTCGGCGCTAAGTCGATCACTGGCCGAGCGATTAAGGGCATTAGGCTGGCCTGCCGACGCCTCTCTAACGCCCGCCTCTCCAACGCCCGCCCTGTTGAGCCGTTCGTTTCGGACGTGCCTGCCCTGCCGGCTCACAGTGGGCCAGAAGACCGGTGCAGACGGCCCAAACTTTGGACGCGTTTCGAGCTCCAGAGTGGCTAACCGGGACTCGAACCGAGCGTGTGACCCCACCAATGGATTCCTCGTTCGGAGAGCAATCCATTGGTGGGGTCACACGTCCGGTTCGAGTCCCATTTAGCGACTCTGGAGCTCAAATCGCGTCCAGGATTTTGACCGCCTCCACCGATCTTCTGGCCCACTGTGCGGCCCTACCGGCTTCGAGCGGTGGCCGAACCGCAAAAAAAAACTTTCATTACTTTAGAAGGGCAAACCTCAGCTTTTGAAATTTACAATTTTCTGTTTTTAACTTTGGTGGCATTAGCAACAACCTGCATGCTGTTGGTTGACGAAAGTTACCCCAGTCAGACAAACGCACTGAACTTTGCCGATTGCATTTCTTCCCTGCGCGGCGGTCCGGCGGTGTGAATCCCAAAGGGGTTGGCGTCGTTACGTGTGCATGTGTGACCCCTGCGTCGCCGGCGGCGTGGCGGCGTGTGGCGCGGAAGGAGCGGACCCGGCTGTTTTCACTCAGAGTCCCCTGGACCCGCCCTGTCTGTCTGTCTGTCTGTCTGTCTGTCTGTCTGTCTGTCTGTCTGTCTGTCTGTCTGTCTGTCTGTCAGTCTGTCTGTCTGTCAGTGTGTCCGTGTGTCCGGCTGTCTGTCCGGTGTGTCAGGTGGTGTCTGTCTTCTGCTTGTTTATCTGGGCTCCGTGATTTCTCCTTGCTCCGTTGGGCCTGCTTCTTCTTGTCGCATCTTGTGCGTGCGTGTGTGCGTGCGTGTGTGTGCGTGTGTGTGTGTTTGCATGTGTGTGCGTGCGTGCATTGTGCATGTGCGTGTGAGTGTGCCCGCAGCGATGGTGTGCGTGCGTACTTCCGGCTTTTTCCCTCACTTCACTTGCCATCGTGTAGCGCCTGTCTGATTCGCGTCTTATCTGAAATCTCGATCGTTTTGTAGTGATTCGCGGCAGCAAAACTTTGGAATCGCCACATTAACTTGATGGAAATCGCGGGCGGATCTGCGTGAATTTTTCTGGGCTCTGTGCAGTATGTTTTAGTTTGTTTTTTTTTATTTTCGCACTGTCCTCATTACGAGCAACAAGGCCGTGTCCTCGGCGCCACGGTTGGCCTGGGATGGCATGGGATGTTTGCTTTGCGAACAAAGTGTGAACGCGTCGGTCGTTGACGCTCAAATTGCTCCGGGAAAAGTGCGCCCCGCGCTCTCACGCCGTGACGTGTCCGTGACGCGTCCGTGACGTGTTGGCGCCGGGGTGGGCCTGGAGCCGCGGGCGGCCCTCACGCCGTGGAGGTAGGCAACCCAACTGGCGTGGTGCTCTGGCGCGCCGTGGAGGCAGGTAACCCAAATAGCGTGGCGCCCTGAGTCGCCGTTGAGGTAGGCAACCCACTAGACGTGCTCGAAGCGCCCTGGTCTACACGATGCGCAGCGCAGTGAGTAGGGGCTGTGCCGCCGTGTGGGCAGGCAACCCAACTGGCACTAGCCCCTGGTGAAGTAGGCTACCCACCTGGCACACGCCGCCAGTGTAGGCAACATCATGGAGGTCGCCGACCCCGTCCCAACAGCTGACCGCCGGCTCGGCAGGCAACCCAACCCACCTCTGCGTCGAGTGTGTTGCCTGCGCTTTCGGCGCGGGCTCGGGTTCGAGTCCCGCTGGGTTCTGACTGGTGGCTTTTTTTTTTGCCGCAGGTCTGCGTCGCTGGACGACGCCGACGGTGCCGCCGAGGCCAACGAGGCCGCCGTCAACGTGGACGAGGAGGCCGTGGAGGACGAGGCCGCCGCGCCCGGCGCCGGCGACGGCCAGTCTGACGGCGAGGCCGCCGACGCCGAGGCCCGCGGCGCGGACGACGTGGCCGACGGCGTCGCCGTCCCCGAGGCCGCCGTCAAGGCCAGCGTCAGGGCCGCGAACGAGGCCGCCGCGGGGGGCCGCGCTGCCGACGAGCTCCGACGGCAGGAGGAGGAGGACAAGGAGATCGCCGCCATCGCCAGGGAGCTGCTGGAGGACATGGAGGAGCTCCAGGACGAGCTCCAGGACGACGAGGACGCCAACAACAACACCCTGGTGTGCGAGGACGGCGACTGCAACAACAACAACCAGCAGCAGGAGCTCCAAGGTAAGGGTTTTCAGACGGTAGAGAGGGAAAAAAAGTTTCCCCGTCGGGTAGTCGAACCCGCGACACTGGCCGGTTCGTTTGATTCGGCTGGAGGTGGCGGCGCTTCTCAGACGCGTATTTGGGCGTCTCGCTTGACTGCCGGCCGCGAGTTCCCCGTGATGAGTAATTCTATCCGTGTCTGTCCGTCTGTCTGTCTGTCTTTTTGTCCGTCCGTCTGTCCGTCTGTCTGACTGTCTGTCTGTCCGCGCCCCGTTTCCGAAAAGCGCGAGATGGGCTATGGATGGCTGGCCGCTAATTGCTCGCTGTTCTATCTTTCTCCCTCTTTCTTCTCGTCGCTCTCCGTCTCGGAATACCAGTGGAGGGGCTACATGGCGCGGTGGAGAGGATTCCTGAGTAATGTCCGATTCTCCGTAAATACGCCCCTAAAAACTAAAAAGGCAGCTGAAAACTGCATTTTGTAGGCGACCCACAGTGGGCGAGAAGACCGGCGGAGTGAGCAAAAATTCTAGACTGAGTCGCTTGACAAGACTCGAACTGAACGTGTGACCTCACCAATGGGCTGCTCTCCGAACGAGCAATCCATTGGTGGGGTCACACGTTCGGTTCGAGTCCCATTTAGCGACTCTGTAGCTCAAAACGCGTCTAGGGTTTTGGCCACCTCCGCCGGTCTTCTGGCCCACTGTGCTGATCCCTCCGCCAAGTCGCCCTTTCGTCCGTTTTTCCAGTGTGTCGTCACAAACGGCAGTAAGTAACCCCCGGCCTGCGATCCGCCTGCCGCGGCCTGCCGCCGTAAAACGAAATAGTTTAAAAGTTGTCGGGTCACGTTCGCACGATACCGCACGCCGATCGTCTTAAACACACCCTTTTTTTTCCTTCGAACGGCCTTGGCACCCTGGCTGGCTTGCCGCCCGGCTCCTCTGCGTTATGACCTAATTTGCTGCAGTGGCGCCCCCTGCTTCGCCTTAGCGGCGCCGCGGGAGAACTACGCGGAAACGGGCTCGCTCTCACACAATTCTCTGCTTGTCTGTCTGTCTGTCTGTCTGTCTGTCTGTCTATCTGTCTGTCTGTCTGTCTGTCTGTCTGTCTGTCTGTCTGTCTGTCCGTCCGTCCGTCCGTCGACCTCCCCGAGGCCTAGTGGTGCCGGAGAACGCCTCTGCCTCTGATTCAGCGGCCTGTGCTCGGAACGGTCGGAACTGCCGCGAACCCAGGCACCTAGACTACCCTGCTAGAATCGGGCGTGCCGCGCCGCCGTCTCGGTGGAGAGTAAAAAAAAAAACGTAGGCGGGTTTTGCAACCGTGCGCCCCTTTGTTGGCTAGAGGAAAGTGGTCTCCGTGTTCGGAGACTGTTTGAACGTGGCGTTCAGGCAGTTAGCTACGTAGCACAATTTTTTCAATTTTTGTAAAATTTATTTACGTATTTATTAATTTTTTTTGTTGATTTAAATTTATGAATTGTGGATAAAAGTTTTTTGGGCTTTTCGTGTAAGCTCCTGAACTAGCTCATTTTTTTAAATTTTTGTAAAATGTTTTTAAATTCATTTTTTTAAGTTTTGTAGATCTAAATTTATGAATTGTCGATGAAATATAAGTGTTTTGGGCTTTTCTCGTGAGCTCCTGCCCCTCCGCACGAAATGTCTCACCGTGAAAGGCTGCTTCAACATAACATTGGAAGTTTTCTCCACATTACGAAAGACATTCGACAAAATACAATGAATTTAGTGGGGAATTACAAAGCCATAGCTGCACCGCCATAAAATGGGTAATCTTCACCTTGAGACTAGTGTAGCCTCCTGGCTCGTTCGGATCTGCAAACCGGCGTTGACAGACGCCAGTCACTGACCGGCGGCCCGCCGAGGCCCGCGGGTCGCAGTGGTGCAGTCATGGTGCACGCTGCAGCCTCCGTCCGTCCGCCGAGCGGCCAGAGCGACGACTCGGCAGTCTTGGAATCTCTCGCCTCGAAAATTCCACAACGCCCTTGAAGCAAGACAAGTCGTGGCCATTTACCAATTTGTCCCCCGCCAGCCCCGCCCGCCTGCCTGCCTGCCAGCCCTGGCTGCCCGGCTGCCCGCCAGCCCTGCCTGCCCGCCAATTACAGGCCCGAAATGGCACTGTAAATGACTCGGAAAACATAAAGGGGGACGTCCTCGTCGCGGACGGCGTCAACGGCCAGCGCTCTGTCTCTCTCGCACTCGCGGGGCGTCCCGCTCGGGTGCGAGAGAGACGGAGCGACAGGCTGCGGTCTTCCGGTGGGGAAGTCCGGTCGGTGTGCTTGCTTGCAGTGCAGCGCACAGTGGGCCAGAAGACCAGACGCGTTTTGAGCTCCAGAGTTGTTATACAGGCCTCCAACCGAACGTGTGACCCCACCAATGGACTCCTCGTTCGGAGAGCAATCCATTGGTGGGGTCACACGCTCGGTTCGAGTCCTGCTTAGCGACTCTGGAGCTCAAAGCGCGTCCAGAGTTGTGGCCGCCTCCACCGGTCTTCTGACCCACTGTGCGTCCCTGTCGCTCTGCTTGCATGTCGCCCTGGCCGACAGCCCTGGCCTTGGCGTCGTCCCGGTCTGCGCACACAATTCACAGTGGACCGTCATTTCAGCACAGCCGCCGGCACTCTTAAATATTCAATTAAAATAGTTTCATTAAATATATTGAGCACTGTGTATGTCCGAAACTCCTGACCTGTAGCGGCGCGTCGAGAATGATTGAGGCTGCAAGGTACCACAATGTGAGTGTGTGTGTGTGTGTGCACGCGTGTGTGTGCGTGTGTGCATGGGAGGTGATGACCCATCGACCTCGGCACGTTATAGTGGTGCTTGTGGATCATACATGTGTATGTGTGTGTGAGTGAGTGAATGTACATGTGTGTGTGTGTGTGTGTGTGTGTGTGTGTGTGTGTGTGTGTGTGTGTGTGTGTGTGTGTGTGTGATGAATGCAGCCTGGTTTGGGACGGCTCTTTTCACCGGCCGTCCTTAATCCAAGGTGTCGGCCAGCTCGGCCTCTGTGGAGTGGACAGGAACCGAATTTGCAGCAGAGAGTCTCGCTGCGCCCCGCCATGGGGCTGCCATGGGGCTGCCATGGGGCTTTCCAGGGCCTGCTTCGGGTCGGCCGTGGTGTCCTTGGCGGCGATGCATACGCATGGGCCTGTGTCACCACAGCCACATTGTGCTTGCCACCACCACCGCCACGCTACCAAAGGCGCGCTACCGCGTCGGCTGGCCGCGCTGGCCCGCTGGCCCGACGCAGCATGTGTCCATGTTTACCGAAGGATTGATTGACTTAACCTACAAATGGCTCGGCGGCCCGGTCGGGCCCGGTGCCCCAACCCTTTCGCGGGTACTCTGCTCACAAAGGCATTCCCTATTGCTCGAGGGGTCGGCTCCGCGAATCTCCAGGTACACTCACAAATTTTTTTCAAACGTGAAAAAAAAGTATTTTTTAGTACACGACTCAATGAGAGCAGAAACAAAATCCAAATCAAAAATTACTTTCAAAATGTCCTTAATGGCTTTTTTTGCGATTTTTTTTCACTTTGACCCAACAAAAGCGAGGCTCTTTCCGTTTCCGCCCCGCGTCCGTTTGCTCGCGGAAAGGCGCCAGTTTTGAAGCGGTTTGGGGCGATCGGGCGAGCACCGCCCGCGGCCCGGCCCAGGCCCGGCCCCGCCGTTACATGCACTGACCTTTCCAAGCCCAGCGGCCGCGCCGCCTGCCCTCTTTTACAGAGCCTTTCTCGTAATCCTTCAAAAATTGAGGCAGTTTGAGCGTGTCGCACTGACAAGATAGCGCTTCGGTGGGTGGGCCGAGCCGCGCCTGCACCCCCTCCCCTCCCCCTCCCCCCCCCTCCCCCGGCCCGACAAAGCGTGCAGATAAAGTAATGCATGCACTCTGCCCGGCGCCACACCACTTCTCAATAATCGAACTGCGGGAAGAAATGTCGATACCGTTCGCAAATTTATTTCCATTTCGAGAGAGGCGCTCGTGCTCGGCGCGTGGCACTGCACGCCGAGGAGCAGAAAGAGGAGCCGTATTTTCAGCACACCCCGTTTTTAAAAAACAATTCCAACAGTTCTTTTAAAATATGAGTTTAATAACTTTTTAAATAAACATTCTGCTGCTGTCCTTATGCGACAGAACAAGATGACGTCGTTCGATTGCATTCTTTTTTTTAAATTCCCACAGTGGACTGGCCGCTGCCGGTTACCTCCTCGGGGCATCGATTGTCTCTGAAAACATAATCGATTGTCTCGAAAACATAAACCGGGAGGGCGACCAAAAGCAAAGAAAGGCGTGGGATGGCGCCGCGGTCAAGGCACGCGCATCGCCAATGAACTGAAAGCGAAAAGGCATTAATTAAAATGGCCGATTCGACGCGAGAGAAATCGCCAAGGAATGGCAGGAACGAACAACAAACGCCCTGCCTCCTCTCTCTCTCTCTCTCTCTCTCTCTCTCTCTCTCTCTCTCTCTCTCTCTCTCTCTCTCTCTCTCTCTCTCTCTCTCTCTCTCTCTCTCACGGTCGGCGTTGCGCCACGGCGCTCGAAAATGTTTTGGCTCTCTTCCGCTTGAGGGTCAGCAAGGGCAATAACAGCCGGCGTGGCGCACGAAGCGGCTCCCCGCGCTGGGCCGCGGGTTCGAATCCCCGAAAATGTCATTTTTTTCCCCTCTCCCTTTTCTTTCCTCCTCCTTTGCGCACTGCATACACATCGGTCCCGGCTCCACTAAGGTCTCTGTCACGAGGGGTATCGCCTACGATAGGGCCCGTCGTGTTTATGTTGTTGTTGTGGCGATGCGGCCGTGCGGCGCTACCCCGCGCGATGCGATGGGCGACGCTTACAGTGTGCCGTACTGCAGTGTGCCGTTATCGTAACGCCATGCCGCTCGCCGACTTCGGAATTCGGTAAACAAACTCTCATTTTTCTTCGCGGAATGGACCGATTGAGTTGCCGCGTTTTAAAAGCAAGGGCCGGAAAAAAAATTGGGAAAGTTTTCTGTAAGTTTCTAGTGGA